AAAATGTAAAGTATAAAACTTTATGACGTTTTAGTGGAAATGTGGTTGCACTATTTTAAATATACTTTTCATAGTATACAGTTTGGGGGTTCATACCAGCACAGTGTGTATTACTTCTGAAAATACAATAAGGAATTTGATTTCCTTATGTAAGTGCATCTGCAGTTTGGCTGTGATATTTCTGCAGGTTGTTAAAAATAAATTTTATACAGGCATGGTAGCACATACGTGTAATCTTCCTAGTTGGGAGGCTGAGGAAGATTGCTGCATGTTCAAGGAATTTTTAAAAAAAATTTATATTGATTAACCCTTTAGTCCTTGGTATCCTGATTTGATCTTTAGGAATCTCTAAGAAGCAGATGAAACCACAAACATTTGGTTTATGGGAACTAAACTTGAAGTTTTGAGTGGTCGCCGACTATCTAATAAGTAGTGGAACTAGGAGAGCTAAATCAAGTGCTCTTTCTGTGATAGTCCTAGAACTAAATATTAAAGTTAATCATTTTTCTCACAATAGAAAAGACACCAAGTACCAATAGCAAATATTGATTTAAAGATAGTAAATAGTTTTTAAAAAATTAGTCATTGTGTTAATACTTTGATCCTGATTTTTCTAGGGAATACAAACTATTCTTAGGAATTGTTAAAGATAGGAGGGAAACAAGCTGAGATGTTGATCTCGTGATTTGTCTGTTGACATTCATTGGCCCTGAATTAAAGAATTTACCCTATTGAGCAGTTGAGTGTTATACATTAAGTACATACATGGTCTTCTCCCTCTAGATGGCTCTCTGGGTCTGTTCAGATACTGACTTGAAAATAATGGGCTTCTCTACCTTTATTTTGTTCCATGGGACTATAGTGACATTTTAAGTAGTTAAACTCTGAAGCCTATGAACAGATAACATGAGCTACTCAAAATAAAAAATAAATTAGAACCAACACTTATTTGTTATATGCCATACACTTGGGGAAAAAGGGGAAGACAGTCAAGTGAACTTGCAATTGTTTGCATTGGGATTGAATCTACTAAGTTAAGATGTATTGGGTCGGCCAAATAGCTCAGTGGATTAAAGCACCTGCAAGCAGGTGCAGGGGTCTGGGGTTCGATCCACCGGCCTGCTATGCCAGCCCCGCCCCCGGAGAACGCTGAGCCAGCAATTGAGACTGGGTGTGGTGGCATGCACCTGTAATCCTAGCATTTGGAAGGCTGTAAACATGAGAATCACTATGAGTCTGATCTGGTAGTGAGACCCTGAACACCCTGTAGACCCTTCACCAAAAAATACAGAAAAAAAGATGTATTAGATTTCTGTAATATGCATTATTTTTTAGGCTCCAGTCATTTATATTCATTGTAAGATACAAGTTTCTTGAGCATAGGAATTGTAATTTATCTGTGTCTTTAAGTTTTTAAAGAAATCTTGTTTTGGAAAGAAAATAATTCTGTACTAAATGATATTGCTGAACTAGGAGACAAAAAAAAAAAAAATAGTTTCTCAGTCTGTGTATGTGCCAATGCTGTTTTTCTTCTTCCAGACTTTAGTATACTCTGATCCACAACAGTGTGACCTTTACTTTCATCATTGTATCAGGATATTTCTTTTACCCAGATAGCAGTTTCTCCCCTTGGTGTCAGTAAAAATCCCTAGTTATTCTCATTCTTCGTGTAACCACTGCTTCTTGTATTGGATGCTTTAAAAATATTGTTGTCTTAAGAGGCTTCTGTATTTGACTTTCCTCTGTGTACTCTCTGAAAATGGTTTCATGTATGTCAAGACTTCAGCTACCATTTATATGGTGTCTTAGTCCTTCTGGATTATGGTAACAAATACATCATAGATTGAATGGCTTGAGGAACAAATACTTTATTTCTTAAAATTCTGGAGGCTGGAAGTTCAGGCAGATTGGGTGTTTAGTTGAGGTTATTGGGTGTTTGGGGAGGACATAGCCATTTTCTGTTTCCTTACCTGCTGGAAGAGCCAGGAGAACTCTTAGGGATCTTTTATAATTCCATGCATAAAGGGTTTACTTTTATGCCTTGATTGTCTCCTAAAGATTCCCACCTCTGAGTACTACCATATTGGGAATTATTAGCATTTTGACATGAGAATTTGGGGAGAGGGATTATTTAGTCCCTAATGTGGACCAGTAGTTGCCATGTCTGTGTCTTTGGTCTGTTTTTCTTCTGAGCTTTGCACCAAATCCTACCCTGCCTGCCGTGGCAGGCCTGAAGTAGGTTTCAGGTGCTCAGACCATGGTAGAATGAATATTCTACTCTCTGCTTTCCTAAAACTACTCCCGAGTGTTCCAGTTTGACTTGAGAGTCTTCAACCTATTCTGCCTTTGCTTGCTCCAAATGTGTCCCACAGTCTGGTGACTATTTCCATCTGGGTTTGAGAGTGAAGGGTGAGGAAAAAACACTGAGTGAATGCACTCAGCCCATTTCCAAACCTACTTTCATGAAATTCCAGTGTGGCTTCTGATTTAGGTCTAATGACAGTGCGATTATTGATTCACTTGTCTCCTCCTCTCCCTCACTTATCTTAAAGCTTGTAATTAATATAATTTGTTTTTTTCTTTTTAAAATTTGTGTTAAATTGAGTGATTTATATTATGTATTGATAGGCTTTTATTGTTTATGTAGCTTATGATGATAGAAAAATTTTGAACCTTACTCATGAAAATAAACTCTAAGATTTGAGTAATAAATCATTATAGACAGATGGTTACCCATAGTATTTCTTCATAAATCCTTTAGTATGTGATCAGAAAAAAGGCTAAATGGTATTCAGGAACCAGCAGTATGTTTTAAGAATATAAATAGTACTTAGTTAATGAAATGATAAATGATACCATTACTTTATAATAGAATTAGAGCTATAATTGCCTGGGTAGTAAATTGAAATCAGACTACCCTTGTTATGTTTATTTATTTATTTATTTTTATGTTTTTTGCAGAACTAGGGATTGAACTCGGCCCTTGTGCTTGCCAGGGAAGTGCTTATTCCACTGAGCCATCTCCCCGGCCCCCTTGTTATGTTTAAATCATTCTGTTGTGATGTTATAATTAATATCTTAATGGAGCACAGAAAAAAATACCTTTTGCAGTTGGTTGAGGGTTGTTCTTTATTTTTGGCCTGACTTGGCATAATCATCTCTTCAACTTGTGGAGGAAAATGAAAAGCCTGTATAATGGAGTATTTAAATACAGATGTGTACCCATCTGCCTAATGTGCTTTTTCTAGGAATCTTGACTAGAATTCAGAGTACCTGAGGGGTGTTGAGCTCAAGGATGTTAGAACTGATGTGCAGATCACCACTCACTGCTCGCACTGTTATGTGCCTTCGTAGGTACACGGACTGTATCGCACAACGGGTGCTAGTTTTGAGAAGGCCCAGCAGGAGTTTGCAACAGGTGTGATGTCCAACAAGACTGTCCAGACTGCAGCTGCAAATGCAGCTTCTACTGCGGCAACGAGTGCGGCTCAGAGCGCTTTCAAGGGTAACCAGCTCTAGAGGCCTCTGCAGAATGCCCTTACCTTCTGACGGTACCATTCTCTCCAGTTGCTGTATTCTGCAGATGTTTTTATGTTGGAAACATAGTACACACAGCATGGGTATTTCCTGTTCACATGTGCATGGGCTAAAAGCAGAAAAACTTCATCTTATTTTACCAAATATTTTTTTTCATATTTCAGTGCCCTGGCAGATGACTATTATGTGCTAAATAAATATTTCTCCATATTTTTGGAGGATGGTGTTCAGCAAATTATTTCAGGGGTGATCTGCTGAGATGAACATGGTACTTGTGATCTAAAAAGCTTAGTACTAACTGTAGTTGTTCTTTCAAGACCCTTTAAAGGTAAGGATAACAGAAGAAAACATTCTTTTTTCCTTATTTATTTTGAAAGAGATAGACCAGCAGAGACACATTTTAAAACGGCTTGCTTTTCTATGAGTTTCATCACCAGTGAGAGCCTGTGTGCTTTGTGGTAGATGGTGTATATTTTGTCTTTGTTATTTTCTTTTTTAAGAGTAGCTGATATTTTGATAACAGTTCTGATCTTGCATGGCAACATGTTCCTTAAATTAAAAGAATTAGTGTTTTGGGTTCTGTACTGCCTATAGTTATAGGAATCAGGGTTGTTTATGGATCATAGAAGTGATTTTCTGTAATAGTTTCCTTTAAATAAAAATTTATTGGGGTACAGTGTGAGACTTTAATATAATATGCAGTGCATAATCCAAAAGAGAAGGTAGTTTGTCAATGCAATAGAGTGTAGTAATAATAATTCCTTTTATTTTATTTCTAATCTTCAGTATTCATATAGTAAAATTTTACTGTATGGAAACTTTGGTATATTCTTGTGGGTACTCTTAATTGAACTTAGATTGTATTTCACAGCTTATTTTTGGGATGTGTGTATGTGGGTGTGTAATTTTTGACAGGTATTAAAGACTAACATAATCTTTGTCTAAAATGAATATACAGTATTTAAAGAATTTTTCTTTTAGCTTCTAATTTCTAGTAGCATTAAAAATAAAAAGACTGTAGCATTTCTAAAATACACTTGAATCCCTAATGCACCTATGTCTTTCATTTTTTGAGACAGACTGAATACATTTAAATTGTTCACCAGTAGAAAAGTCAGTACATTGCATCAAACAAGGAAGTACATATGCAGTTAAAGACATTAATTATGAACATAATCTACATTGAAATCATTGCTATGCAGCACAGAACTTGATTCTTAGAGTATACTTGGGTTAAAACTTTGAGTCATTCTTAATATTGATTAAATGATTCAAATGCATTTCTAAATCATGCTACTACTGTGGTTTGAAAGCCTTTAGATAACTTTTGATTGCAGAATAAGTTTGATTTTAAGGAAGGATGATGTATTAGATTACATAATTTGAGACAGAAAGTCTTTTTAAAAATAAAATTAGGCATAAATGGGAAACATCACTTTTCTTTTTCCTTCCCAAATCTGAAATTAAAGTGAGTCTTTTGATGGGAGTGGGATGCCAAGTTCTTATTGTTTACGAGGAAGGTCTGTGTGCTGCTTGGAAACACAGCTCATCCAGACGGTGTTTACATTTGAGTTGTTTGGGACTTTACCGAATACTGTAGTTAGGAGGTATTTCTTTTATGTGGAAGAAAAATAGGATTCAGAGTATGAAGTAAAGCTGTTTTATAGATATTTCTGATCAGTAATAATCTTGATCTACATTCTCATCCACCTCAGCAGCTCTGGTCCTTTAGATCCTGTAGTCTTAGTGAAAACTTACTTTATTGAGTGTAGGTTTTATAAACATTCAAAACATGAGCCACAAAATGCAGCAAGAGCATTGTACCCACCACTGATTTATATTCCACGTCTATGTTTTGTTTTTCTCTAATAAAAGAAGAACATACAATAATAACAAAAGATTTATTGAAGACTTTTGAAAAATAGTGATATTCTTTCCTTCAGAATTGCAGTGTTTGTTATGTAAAAATTTCCAAAGATAACATTATTAAAGGCAAAGAATCACAACCCACAATATCTTTTCCTGTGTGAATAGAAGAACAAACCTTTAAATTTGGGTTTACCTGGGTTAATATGGTTGAGAGGGAAAATTGTTTTATAAAAACATAAATGTGCATTAAAATGATGACAGTTTGATCAGGTATGAAAGCAGCTTTAAATTCTCATATTCACTATTTTCATGACAATAATCAGTAAACAGTGACATTTTACTAGCAAAAGATTGGCATTTGTTAGTGTTTCATTTTTAATGCTAAAATTCTGTAACACCACAGTCACAAAGTAGTCTTCGTATCATAGGCATATGTGTCACCTTTCAGTTTGCATTATTAAATCATAGCTGTTCTGTTTTAAGCTAGAGTTTGAACACTGGAAAAATCCCTGCTCAGGGATTTGTAAGCTGGGTCTTAGTTTTTGATCTGGGGATGTTTGTGTATTTTGTAGGTGAGTATACTGCGCTGCCATCTTGGTGACTGTCACAGTTCTGTACCAATGCCTTCCATCTGTCCTCTCATGTTGCATGTTTTCAGTGGTTTGGAAGTTTTGTATATTTATTGTATTAATGCAGAGTGTCATAAAATAAAATACTGTTTATTGGATGTTTGTTTGTATAATTTTAAACATTACATTAGCAATTCAGATGCAGAAATTATGCTATAGGTTTCTCTGTACTTAGAAGTTTCTTTCACATTTAATTTTTAAAAAATAATTTTGTTATTGCTAAATAGAACATAAAAGATTGAGATAAAACCCTCAGCAATATAAAATGGCAATTTTTTTCTGTTGCAATTAGACCTTTGTAGGTAGCATAATATAAACTTCATCCATAGTAAATGTTTTGACCACTTCTAAAGTCTAGAAGTTGAGTGCAGCAAAATGAAAAACGTTTTCTTGACTTAAAATCGGTGCCTCTGAGGCATTGTGGTCCTGATTGGAACCTTGCTTACCTATTTTCTCTGTACTGATGAAAGCGCCTATTTGTGCACTGGGCTTTTTAGTTGACAAGCTAAAGAAGATACAAAGGTATAATCTTAAATTGTGTTCATGGTGTATCTTACTTTATTTTGAGAAATGTATGTTGGAGTAAAGTGGCATTTATTTTTTGAGTGCTAATTAAAAAAAGATGAGTTTGAATTTTTTGCCCTTCATTTACTATAATTCATGTTGAGGTAAAGTATAGCTCTTACTTCATGGGGATTTATGTTAGGTTTACTGGCTGTTTCTCTAAATGATTTGTAATGGCATAGTGTTTCTGTACTCACTGCTGAAAATGCTGGCATCAGCATGCTCTGTATTGGTGAAATTTGTGTTCATTGTGATTGTTTACAGAACTTACTAGATTTTAATATGTTCCCCTACTATGTGTGGCTTAGAATTAATATGGCTGTTACATACCCTTTCATATCTGTGCATTTTTTTTTCCCTTAAGGAGAACATTTAGAGGAATTTGTTGATTCCATGTCATTAAACCTGTAGAGGTAATAATATGAATGGTTAACTTCAAAATTAATTGAGGATGTCTATTAGCAAAGGCCTCACTTTGATAAGTTTTCAAATACCATAGTAATTTACTTAGATTGTAGTAGAATAATGTTTTTAAAATGTTAGAATTAACATACTTTTTCCCTAAAACTAAGAGTTACATTGCAGTGGTCAAGTACTAGGAGAAATAAAGGATTTCTGCTAGAATTTTAAGGCACATTTTATAGAGCATGTGTGTTATATTCACTCACCTATAAGGAGACAGCTCTAATTTGAAGATCCTAAGGCAGTGATGGCAAACCTTTTAGAAAGACACATTCCCAAACTGCTACCAAGAACCCACTTACTGTAGAGTGGCAACACTACAGTTAAACCCGAATACTGAGATTTTAGTTTAGGAAAAACAACTCGTATATTAACAGTTTTTGTCTTAAAAGAAAAACAAATACTATTCTCATAGGCTTGCCACCACTGTCCTAAAGGAACAGAAAAGACCTGCTGTGTTTTCAACCTCCCTGTGGGTTTTACTGTGCGCTTTGGGTAGAAAAAACCTTAGGCTATAGAATTTTTATAAGCACTGTTCGTGTTTTCAGCTGGCACAGGAACCTGTGTGACAGTGCAGTGAGTGTTCCGTTTTGTGTGTGAAAGAAGATAACTAAAGTTGCCTATAATTGTGTGCCCTTTAGAAATCTGTGTTAAAATCTGGTTTATATTTTTCTGTTACTTTTTGTAGAAAGACAACTTTCATCCTAAAACTAAGAAATGACACTGCCCTGTACCTCCTTATAGCAGGTTGTTTAGGGATGTTTACACAGCTGTTTCAGGCCATTTCTTAGCGCCCCTGAAGACCACACTGGTCTAGATGTCATCAGGCTGTGGTGTGCTCACCCCTGCCTTGGGGGTTTCCATGCTGAGCTGCAGGATCCAGAACTCTGCCCCTTTGGACTTGGAGCCTCTGGGGTGGCCATATCCTGCCATGAAAGGAACCATGAAGAAAGCTGGTCTGTATTGAGAATGAAGAATGAAGCAGGAGCTATGAAGGACAAGGAAGAGATCATCACAGCTTCCCCTTTTTGTTTTGAGGCTCGCCTGCTCATCTGATTCCAGCCCATTATCCTCATCATATTCTCACCATCTTTTCTCCCTGACCTATCCTGATTTTTTTCTTGTTTCTTTCACTGGAGCATTTTAACTAACACAGTGTTCAATCTTTTTTCAGTTACTGTATTTCTGAATGTATTTCTGTAAAACTTAGAAGCTGTACAGCTATCATAAAGTGCTCTTACTCACATTTTCATTCACATTTTCAGGTTTTATTATAAATGATTATCAAGGAATATATTGTCAGTGAATTTTGGGGCCCAAGCTTATAGTCTTTTCCTCAGGACAAATTGCTGGATCACTGGTATGCGTATTTTTAACAAGACCTTTAATGTGAATTGCCAAATTGCTCTCCATTTTTTTCCTCCATCTGCTATATGACTTGTTTCTTTCTCCACATCTTCACCAGTACTGGATGATCCTTTTCCATAAAGTCTTTTTTACTAGTAGTTTTGACAAATAACAAGAAGGTCTGTTTTCTAAGCTTTCTGGCTTCCCATGCTTGTGAGTTCACTCAGTGTTGGTATGTGCGTCTGCCTCCCTTTGTATATGTAGTTTCACAAAATGAGAATATATCCTATATCTGTAGAGAAACGTATTCCCCAAAAGCTAAGTAGTGGAACTAGGAGAGCTAAATCAAGTGCCCTTTCTGTAATAGTCAATCCCTGCTGTGCCGGCCCCAAAAGCCAGAGTATACTGTGCCAGCCACTGAAACCTGGCGTGGTGGTGCATGCCTTAATCCCAGTGCTGGGGGCACTGAGACAGGAAGATCATTATGAGATTGAACTGTGTAGTGAGACTTTTTTTTTTAATTGCCGCATGTGTATTTGAAATTTCCAGCTCTCAGGTGAGCTGTACACCTTGTAAGCACTGGTCCACAGCTCTGTGTGCTGAGTAGTCTCTGGCATTTGGATGGTTAGAGAAACTTTTGGAACAAATCCTTAATAATTAGGTTAAATATACTTCTGGATGCAAGATTATTTACACTAAGAAAATAATTACTGTCAAGAGCCTATCATCTCTTTCACTGTCATGTGCTTGTTGAGTTTTTAGTGTGTTGTCAGGATTTAACTGAATCATGACTGTTGAATTGAAAATGTTATCTCCAGAAATATGAAAATTAGCTAGATGTGGTAGCACATCCTATAATCAGCACTCTGGAAGGCTGAGGCAGGAGGATTACCAGGTGGGGCCCAGCCACAGCCTGGGCAACTTCATGAGACCCTGTCTCAAAATATAAAGAGGCTGTGGATGTCGGTCAGTGTGAAGGCCCTGGGTTCAGTGACACGAACAATATAAAAAACAGTGCTAGCTTTTTCTCTGGAAGAGAGGAAAAGTTTATTGTGCTCTTAGGATGTGTCTTTCTGGAGTCACCCTGGAAGACACTGCCTGGCATCCAAGGTGTTGGCTGTGTTAGCCATCTCGTTCCTTATTCATCATTCTAGGTAGAAGAGAACAATGGGTATTTAGTGTCCAGCCTGTATTTGCACTCTGCTTTGTCACTTGCTAGCTTTCTAACCCACTTCCTTTCTAACTTAGACTTAACCTTAGCTGTTCTTAAGTGACAGTTACTTGTCTGTGAATTAGGATAATAGCTCCTACCTGATAGAGTCTTGTTGAATAAATGAGGTATGTGAAGTGCACAATAACCGGACACATGCAGCTTCTCTTCATGCACTCACACCTGTGTCTACACCGACATGTCCTGCCTGGCGCCCGCGTCCACTGGCTGCCCCCACAGTCTGTCCCTAGCTGCGTAAGGACGTCTCTAGCAGCAGCCTGCCCTGCCCTTCCTACTCTCCACTGTCTGTTCCTTTTGGACTCCTTATCTGTGTGACTGACACCTGGGGTTACCCTAGACCCCCACTGCTGCTCATCTGTTCCCTCCAGCATCTGTAGTTTAGCCCAGCATTGTCCTCACTTCCACATCTGAACTTGGGCTTGCTTCTGTATTAGGAAATTACATGGTTTTTCCAGTCTACAACTTTGTGGGACTATTTATGTGGAGGTGTTAGGTTTTTCAGGATATTTGGCTACAAAAAGCCAGACCTAATAGCTAACATGCTATTTCATTGACTTTTCTTTCCGATGCGGCTTTTTGCTCTATGTCTCCATGCCATGTGCCTAAGCAAAATTAGTAGTACACACACTGAAGGGTTATCTTGCAGAACTTTCCAGGATAAATAGAGGAAGATGCAGGGAATAATGTGGAAGTGCAGCAGTGGAAGGGCCACCAAATAACTGAGCTGCTTGCGGGGCATCTGCCGCGAAGATGGGTGATGAGTAGTGTTGCTGCTGTGAAGAGTGCGCAGATGCCCTTCTTCCATCATTACTCCTGAAGTATTGGTCATGTGAGAGAAATGCCGAGGAAAATAAAGACCGTCCCTGTCAGTGGCTTTTGCTGATCAAGGGAATCCAAGAGGACCAGTTACGGAAAGCTGTGCCAACACACAGCTACCAGAGAAAAGCTAAGATTGAGAGGCTCTAAGCCCAGTCTTTTCTCATGGGGATAGCTTTGAGAAACAGAGTAATGTCTGAAAAAGTTATGCGAAGTTTCTGATTTACTTGGGCTATTCAGATTCTGATTTGTTTGGACAACTTTCTTTAGTAATTTGGGTAGTTTTGCAGTTTTTTAAAAGTATGATTTCTAATAGAAACACATCAGAAGTCATGTAATGTTTAGAAGCCAAAGTGTAAACATACTTTGAGCCACCATAAGTCCTGGACCAGGGAACAAACAGCCAAGTGCTCATGAGATGTAGAGTTTGTTGAGTTTATGAAGAGAGTGTTTACTGTCTAAACACTGAGTTTCTAGATGAGAAATCTTAACTACTCTGGGAGAGGCTTCTTGTAGATAGGATTACCTTGCAGAAAGTGTAGATGTGAATAACTTCACATGATTGGCCTTTATTTTGCTTGAGAAAGAGTCTAGCTTGGTAGTTCAGGCTGGCTTTGAACTCACATAATCCTCCTGCAGCCTCATGAATGTTGGAATTACAGGCCACTCCACCTAGCTACTTTGTTAGAAGAGAATGTCTTTCAGGTAACTTTCTGTCACAAATGTAAAGAAATACTTTGAAGGGCCAGCAAGATAGCTCAGTGAACTAAGCACCTGCTTAGGCAAGTGCAAGGACTGGGGTTTGATCCCTGGTACTACATGCTGCGCCAGCCCCACCCCTGGGTACACTGAGCCTGCCACCAGAATCTGGGTGTGGTGGTGCACCCCTGTAATCCCAGTGCTAATGAGGCTGAAAATAGGAGGATCACTATGAGTCTGAGCTGCGTAGTGAGATCCTGTACCCAATACATTAAAAATATATATTTTGAGCCTTATCATTAGCTGTACTTATAAAATGTTTGTGTTGTAACATTTCCCCCGTTATGTAATGCTTTCCTAAGGAAGAAATACTACTTACTTAGAAGTTTAAAAATAGCCTGTGGGGCCTGACCAGATAGCTCAGCAGATTAAAGTGCCTGCTTAGACACAGTGACTGGGGGTTCAGCATGCTGGGCTGGTCCCACTGAGAGGGCAACTGAGACTGGGTGAGGTGGTGTGCGCCTGTAATCCCAGCGCTTGGGAGGCTGAAAACAGGAGGATCACTATGAGTTTGATCTGTGCAGTGAAACTCTGTAGACCCTGTGCTAAAAATACAAAAAACAAAAACAAACCTGTAGTAGGGGTATGATATGTATGTTCTTAGCAACAGAATAGTTGGAAATGCCTGAGTGTCTTTCTTATCATTACTGTCCCAATAAGTGTTTCAGTTTTGACTGGTAGGTGTTTTCTCAATCACACTGTATAAAGATCTCATATTGAAACCAGTATTCTCAGACTTGGAGTTTGTAAAATCTGGTTTAATTCAAATCTGAGAGGGAGGGAGCACATTGTGAAAATACATAGGCACAGGAACCTTGTTAATGCTAGACAATGTATTAGTTTACAGTGTAGCAGAATAACCACATATTTGAGGGCTCAGATTGAGTCCACCGCTGTGATACAGTTCATGTTTGGCTCAAGTGGCTGTTGAATGTCAAGTGTGCCGAGTGCCTCCAGAGCACCTGATGACTCCCTCATCCTTCGAGTTTCACCACAGTCTCAGAAGAAACCCAGTCGTCTCTGACTCTTGGCCCTCAGGGTGTCACTGTTACTAGACAGAGGCAGGCAGGGATCCTGGGGCCAGCGTTATTGCACGGAGATCTGTCCAGAAGCCAGACTTAGGCTACGAAGGCGTGCGGCCAGCGCTCCCACAGTGGTCTAGCATTTACAGGGTCCAGGAAAGCATGCTAAGAAGCAGCGCCTAGTGATTAGGGTCCAGCAACTACTTGTCACACTAACAGAAAAGGCAACACGCAGCTTCACATTTCACACGAAAGACTCGCATTAACTGGGCCTGGCTTGCTGGCTTAACTTCCACATAAATAGTGATTATTATAATTTAGACCCAGAAAAAAAACAAAAACCAGTCTTTCCTTCACATAAGTTTCATGTAGCATTAAAATTATTATGGGGTAATGACTAGGCCATGAAGGCAAAAATGTGTAACTCCTTTGCCAAAACAGAAAACATCCCTGTTTTGACTCCTGTCCAGTTTCCGAAAGGAAAAAAAAAAAAAAAAATACACCTTTGTTATTGCACATCTTTCACAAAACTTATGTATGTGTAATATACATATTTAAATATGCTACACATTAAAAGGCTATGGCACTTTATGGGATACATGTCTAACAAGTGTCATTACACCACAGATGTTCGAGAGCTACACAGAAACCCTCGCACAATTAAATGTTACATTGTTGACTTAGCACACAGGTTTAAAGAATCCACAGACTGAGGCAAACATTTTTGCCTTAGAGTGTTTTGAGATGCCCAGGCCCTCAAGAAAGCTTTAAGCACAAATGCCCGCAAAATAAGCCTTTCCTGGGAATAGTAACAGTCCTATTTATTAGAAAGTAAGTGTGGGTCAATGAGTGGTTTTTAAAGAGTCATACAGGAAAGTTTTGGTTGTGGACTAGCATTACAGTCTTTTATTCCAAAGAAAGGCTGGCTAATGGGCTAAAGGTTTCACAGACCCACTGCTGCCTTTCCCATGGCAGAAGACTTATTATCCCTCCATAACACTGAAGTCAGTCTTCAGGTAGTTTATAGTGGTTTGGGGTTTTGTGTGTGTGCCTTTTTTTCTTAGTCTTCTACATCATTTATATTAATGAAGTGAACACTGTCAAGTGATGCTGCTCTGGCCGACAGGTCTCATTTTCTCTTGGGACTGCTGTTGATGAGTTCACTGTGACAGGTGACCTTGGGGAGCCCTGCCACTTTAGCTGAGGGGTTGGTGACAGACATACCCATAGGATCCCCTGGGCTTATGACTTGTTCCTAGGGGGAGGCTGAGATTGTAAAATGGATTCTCTACCTTGTAGAGGTTAATCTTCCAGTAAGAAATGTAAGAAAAAAATGTTAGAATTTGCCTGATGTAGGAAACTGATTTGAATAAAAAATACTGCTCAGGTTTGAATGTAGTTACCTGGCTGGAAGAGGGACTCAGACTCTATAAAGCACTTTCCCTCTGAGGAGCCTTACACGGGCTCCCATGGCTTATTTCTTGTGGTTACAGTGATGGTTCCTGTTTCCCACACCTTTACCTAGGTGTTCTAAAAGGTTGCCTGTTAACCCTTCTCACTCTCAAAAAAGCCAGAGGATCTGAACTTTCTTTCAAAAGATCTGTTCCTATCTTGTGCTTGGCCTTTCATCTGTGAGATAAGACAGTTTCTAGTGTAGGCCAAGTCTCCCATTTCTGTAAAGCAGTTACACGTTCTGCCTCCCATGGTTCCAGACTCAACACAGCTTTGACCTCACTCACTAGTGCAAAGTTGTAACTTTTGAGTAAGGTCTGAATACCTGGTGGTACTTAGTGCACAATACCTTGCCAATAGAAGATGCATAGTAGCTGTTACATTTTTCATATAACATCCTCTGTGAATAGATGCATAAACCCAAAGAGACTCACAGTCTTAATCCTTCCAGCCATGGCAGCATTTAGTTGGTGAGGGGTGTTTCTCCCTCTGCAGTATCTGACACACGAATTAGGTCAGGCTGCGTGATTTCGGCAGCTCTGCTGATTCTCATTACACCCTGCCCAGATCAATTATATTGGTAACTTATGGAAACTATATTATGAGTTCTAAATCCTCTTTTCCTCAGAAATAGTGGTGTTTGATTGTTTCTGTAAACGCATAGGCAGGTGCTGTGAGCTTGGTTTAGCTTGGGTTTTACATAAACTTCCTATTCTGCTTTCCAAGTCTTTGGCGCAGTTGTTCAGTTGCAGCAGCTTAATGTTATTTCAGTCTTCAGGATCAACACCTGCGACTAGAGAAGCTTAACTCCAATCACTGGGTTCTTTTTCCTGCAAAGAATCCTGTTTTGCTGCTATAGGGGTTGGGAATCCAGGTGACTAAGGCAGGATCACCGAGCAGGAAAGGTCCCCCAGGGCCGAGATTTGGCAGTTCGTTCCTGTGAGCACCTGCCTGTGCCACAGCTGGGGTGGAGCCTGCTGTCCCCAGAAGGAAACAGGTTTCCTTCGGCAATCGCAGCACAATCTTAACCTCAAGGAGCAGCAGGCTGGGCCTGCATGGGCGCTAGCCTGGCTGCAGGAAGAGGAAACTGTCTTCACTTGGCCAGGGTCTGCACTGCTGTCCTCAGTCTCTCCTGACATTCCTAACACCCTGGAGTGACGGTGTGCTGATCCACTTTCCCTTGGAATTCAGCCTAGAGTAAGTCCTAGGCTGTTTTAGAGGACCCCTTTGGCATACGTCCTACCCCCACTGAGTTTGTGATCTTTCTTTAAATTTCCAACTGAAACAACACATGAAAGAACTAAGAAACCTGAAACACCAACTTGAGACCTCATCCTAGGGCAGAGGTGTGCACAGACATGCAGCCGCAGGCCAGAAACTTCCTCTTTGGTCCTCAAAACAGCCTGTCAGGCTAGCAGCCAACTACGTGTCCTCTGCTGCCAGAGGGACAGTGCCTTCATGATTCTGATCATTATCCTTCATGGAGCCCTGGGAAAATTGAGTCTGAGCGGACCCCACAGCTGCAGTCAGGGCGTAACTGTGCTGAGCCGGGTGTTCCCTCTCACGAGTCCTGTGAAGGCCTGGGCTGTGGAATGTGGCTTCGGTAGGTGAAGTCTGTTTCTCCACTTGATTCATACGGCGTGGACTGTCTCACAAGATTACACAGGAACAAAATGGCGTTAATGTATCTTTCCACACTAAAGGAGGCAGATAAGGTTTTTCCCTTCCTCAATTTCTTCCTGTACTTTGTCACTGGAGGTGGCGATTTCTGCTTGTGCGGAGAAAACAGCACAGATGAAGGTGAGGACTGTGCCGCCGATGGCAGTGTAAAAGGCCCAGCCCAAAGAGCAGTCTCCAGGTTTGTAGGCAGATGCATAGGGGCCACAGTAGTCTACAGCTTTCTGGCAGCCCCAGCCAGCAGGGTAGAGAATAAGACCAAGGATGAGAAATAGGCCTGTGGAACAGAAGAAAAAGCAGGTCAAGGCCCAGCTCTGTGGTCTGCTGTAACTGCCGCTTGCACTGCCTAACAGCATCTGTTCCTCCATAGAAAGTGTGAGGGACCATTTTGTGCAGCTCATCTGAGCTAAGCAAGAAATGCCACTTAGAAATATTTTTCAGCCACTTGTCTACATACTGCAATGTGACTCCACGAATGATGGTTCTTGTGGGAATGCAGACTGTCTGCACTGGGCTCTACAGCCGCGAGCACTGCCATCTGGCTGAAAGGGAGCGACTGGCATACCAGGGTGTGCAGGCCTAATTTGCTGGATTACTGGAACACAGTGCTCATTCCTTAGGACTGCTTTTGTGCTAGACCAGCAGAGCTGGGTAGCTGCTACATACTGTGTGGCCTACAGAATTTAAAATATTTACTATATGGCTTTTTGTGCCCTGGCCCAAGGGAGCTCTCACAGAACCAGTAAGAACGCAGTCTGGTTAACGCCAGACAGGTACCTCACAAGGGGACAGACTGACCTGACTGTCAGTGCTTCAAACACACCCATTTGTGAACAACAAATTTTAAGCAGATATCTCTGCATTTGCAGATCTGTCTAGAGACAAAGTACAAACTTCCTAATGATTTTCTGTCTGGATACTTTTAAGTCAATTCAGCCTTGAGTAGATGCTAACAAGCCCTGCTGCTTCCATTTTGCTGTCACCCGCCGCAGTGTCCCAGCGTCCTTTCTTTTGCTCATAGCCCGACTTCTCCTGAAGAGCTAGGAACACAGCACTTAGGAGCTCTTTCCCCTGGTTTCAGGAGACAACCTTTCTTTCTCCTTGGTTTCAGGAGACAACCAAGATTTGAACATGAGATTTCAAGCATAGGTGTCACCAGTAAGTGTCTAATCTGGCGGCGAACTCTTGTCTGCCTGAGCCTCAGCTTGGCTCAGGCCCCTCACCCAGCAGACCTGAATGGAAAAATGAGAGGGACAACCCCCAGCCCTGAATCTCACCCAGTCAAATGCCAACAGAAAGTCTTTGTTAAAGGCCTTTAGTTCACCTGCATAAAGCATCAGAGAAAGATGCTTTTTTTCCTGTGTAGCAGGAAAAACTTTTTCCTTCAAAAACGACAAGACTGCTAAATCATAGCTCAAAACTGCTATTTTTTCTGATACCCTGGAATAGAACTTCATCCTTATAAATAAATCTTGGTTTGCAGCTTTTTTTCTTTTCCTCCCCTACTATCCCATGGCTTCCAAGTCACTTAGCAACTTCCCCACCTGCCAAACATAAACAGAGTTGTGACACTGAGGTCTGAGAAAGACTGGGGAGAGCAGTGCAGGCCCCAGATCACAACTTCCCCAGTCCTGTCCATCTAGGATGCGTCTCTTGCCTGGCTAGGCAGTCTTGCCTGAGCAGCCTTTGAACCAACTGTCTCCACTTCATCTGCTGTCCCACTAAAGAAGCCTCCAGGGACTCCATGCCTGCTGCCTGCAGATGGACAGTCACAGTCCAGAAACCACTTGCTGGGCAGCAGAGGGAGCTGACTAGTGCATGTGAAGTGGCAGGGGTGGGGTGGAAGCCCGTCCTGTCCCACTTTAGAGTGAGCGGGTCCAGAGCCAGCAGTCTCAGGGCCTGGACTAGAATCAAAGCTAGGACTGTGCAGCGAGGAAGCTCACACGCGGCAAGGACATGAGCCAGCAACAGACTCGCTGGTTACATAGTGGTTCCAGCACCTAGGACCTCTGACTTGGAGTTCAGTCAGGCTGGAATCCAACATCTTTCCTCTGTGAGCTGGGTAACCTCGGACAAGCTTCTTACCCATCTGGTTCCTTACCTATAAAGAGACACTAATCCTTAAGTCCCACGATGGTTGGACTTTTAACATCTAGAGTACTTTCTGCACTCAACAAAATTGGGAAAAAGACCAAAAGCCTAATCAAATTAAAGCATTTCACAGACTGTTCCCACTAATAAGTAATGGCAGCTGAACCCAAGCAAGGTAAGAAGACCTCAGCCACAGAGCCCCAGCCCAGCCCTTCTCTCTCTTTATTTCAAGACAGATTTGCTGTCTTTCTGCCTCATCCTGAGTGGCTAGGATTATAGGTGTTACCACCACATCCAGCACATCTGCTGGGGGAGGGGGTGTTGAAAGGTATAGTTTGGGAAAGTGAAGGGCAACAGGCTCCACTGGAAAGACTCCAATGTTCTTCATCGAACAGAGCTTTATATGGCAGGGGTCTAAAATCACTTAATTCTGATGCCCATGGCAAGCCTTGGTTAATCCTGCCGGTGTGCCACCCTGCCCTCTAACAGCCTTGCCTGGGCACAGTGAGATCTGTCCTCCCTCAAGGTCTGAGGCCACAGGGCCACCCAGCAGAGTTCCCTGCACAGGATTCTGCCCCTCCATGGGAGCAGATGCTCTCCAGGCAGACCTGGAGTGAGGGTGCTGCACTTCCCTTTAAAGACTTAAGTGCTCATATGTAGTAGTTTCAATTAAATATTGATTGCATGTTTCATTTGTAATATGTGCCATTTCAATGTAAAATGAATGCAGTTTAATATACTAGGAACAGAAGACAAAGTACAAATTTGCTGTCACATACTGGTCCTGCCACTGTGCGAAGCTCTGGCTTATTGCAGGACACAGGAAATCACCTGAATGTGGCTCTTCTTCCATTAGGATGTAGGCAGCTCCTGTAACAGCTAAGACCCACCTGCAGTTCCCTGACAGGAACATGTCCCTCCCTTAGGCATTCCCTTTCCAAATGGCACAGGCACAGGCACAGGCATGATTCTTTCAGTCACTGCAGGCCACCACAGACCCGCAGACTGCTGCTGGCCTGTGAATGAGGATAGCAGGGAGCCATGCTTGAGTCTGTCTGAAGCCTTAGTGGCAATGAGAGCCAACTGCAGTCACACAGGAGGGTGAGAAAAGGGGACATCTGTGCCAGCAAGGAACAGGGCAAGGTACCCGCTGTCCCCAGCTGATGGGCTAGGCAGACTGGAGGGGGCCTCAGCATACTCCTCTAGTGGTGGCCTGTGCTCCCAGCACTCACCAGAGCACTCCTTAGCACCGACTGCCATGAAAACACAGGAACTAGGTGTCACAGAGACAATGGGTCTTAGGTGAGGGGAAATAACAGTCAGATGTGGTGCACACCTTTAATTCCAACCACTAGTGAGGCTTAAGCAGGATGGGGAAAGTTCAAGGCTAGCGTGGGCAGCTTACAAAACTGTGTCTCAACAGAAAAGGGCTGGTGATGTAGCAAAGTGGTAGAGCACTTGGTAGCATGTTTGAGGCCTGGAGTTCAATCTCTAGGACCTATAAATTAATAACAAACTTTTTGTAATTATTAAAAACTTATTTCTCTGGGTATTTAGATTCACACCAAAGAACTCCAGGTCTGTAGGTCACATGACCTCACAGGTGATGTGAGGTGATGCAGCCCTCATCTCCAGAGTCCCAGGGCAGGGAAGCAGAGCCGTTCACAGAGCCGCAGGGCCAGGCTCCAGCGCTCTCCGCCCCGCGGCGGAGGGCAGAGCGTGGGTCCTGTGGGTCTGCATTCTGCTGCCTGCACCTTGACCTGTGCCTGTCCAGCTAGGAGGGGGAAGAACCGCAGGAAGATGACATCAGTCAGCAGCCCAAGACAGTGGAAGCACCATGGCAAAAATCCCTGAGTGTCTCAAGACACTGTGCCAAGCTGTGTTGACAGGTTGGTGTCACTTACTCCTGGGGGGAGTAGGGGTAGATTACAATTATTTTGTTTTTGTTGGTGATATGCTGCTGACACCTTACAAAAAGCTGGTGCGGCTGCTCATATTTTCTAAGAGAAAAAATGAAAGTACAAACCAGTGACGCACAGTTTGCTGAGCTCTCTCTTGTCACATGATGGCATAGAGAGACACTGGCAAAGAGGGCTGTAGTATAACCAAGAGGGAAAGTTTAAAAATGGATGTCTCTTTCAGCGATAGGCCAACCCTCCAGCTTCGCAAGCAGAATGTAAGGTGCCACATCTCCTTAGCGCAGATGGATCTGGAATGGGTAGAAAAGGAACTCGCAGGTGCTGACCCCAGGAGGCTGGGCTGCAGGTTGGATCCCTGGGGAAGGGAGTAGCCTGGGGATCTCCTTGTCTGCTGCCTCAAGGTGTTCTTCCCATTGCCCCTGCACCCTAATCAAGGCATGGTGGAGATCCGAACTCCTTTGGAGTCAGCTTTGACTAAATCTTTCCTTTCATCAAAATGAATAGGCTGCCATGTCTTTTGGGAAGGCCATGTATTTCTAGTGCATACCTGTGGACAGTAACAGGCAGACGTCCACATCCAGCCCTTGCTGCTAGAGGGAAGAATATTGTACTGGATGTCAGAATCAACTTTATTCACTTCAATTCTAGTCAAACACCTGTCACAATGGTTCTCCTAACTGTGCCTTTTCTTACCACTAAATTTCAGAAACAGCCTGGAGGTGGTGTATCCCTGTGAAAAGGTAGCATTTTCATGACCTTACAAGACAGTTCCTACCCTCTCGCTAACAGCCTCCTGGCACATTGTACCCAGACAGTCATAAGACACCAGTGCCTTACTGGTAAAAGAAAGGAAATGAAACTGGATTACCCTACAGAGGCCACCTCAGGCTGTAAACACTCCGACAGCTTCACAGACAGCCCCGCTAACACTCACTGGGCACAGGCCCTCCATGCCACTTGTCTGCTCTGCTACCTGAGTCCCGTTCATCTCCCAGCCCATTCCTCAGGCAGCACAGCAACTGTCCCTGTCTCGCATGTGATTTGGGTGTAACTCAAAACAGGCAGGGAGCTGTGCCCTATCACTGCATCCCCAGTGCTCACAGTATGGAGGGCACAAAAGCCAAAACACACTAGGAAAAGCAGTTGTAATCCTTCCTAGTTCTTCACAGAATTCAGCACTAACTAGGGAAAGACCATCCTAAAATTATGTCTGAGCTACTTCCTTCCTACTGCCCTTGAGCCAGAGTACAAACCCTCACACAGAACG